CAAGGTGGCTAGTGACTCATGGATCTGTGTTAGTAGGTCAGTGGTTGAGTGCATTGGCAGCGTGAAATTAAATGACAGCTACTGCATCCAATCGGCACGCAGCATTTTCTAACTTTAGCCAATGACTCTTGGCTTCACCAGAGCTCAAATCTTATTTAAGAATGTCTGTCGTCATTCACAGTAGGAGTGAAGCATTTGCGACAATCGGCTCGCAGACCGTGCTCGGATTTGTCCTCATATTACGAAAACAAAATATTTCCGATGTATTTATTGCTCATACTACTTTTACCATGGCATAAATATATACATTTACTCCCAACAATGTTGCAATGGGGCGTACACTTCTAAAACAGCACAAGAAGCTGTAGAAGCTCCGTGCGTCTAATGTTTAAGGTTGTCACATTGGTTTATATTTATAGTCAAATTTAGCTACTACATAATTCACACTGTTTACGCACTGTTGCATTAACAGACTTAGGCCATTCCTTGATGTTCTGTTGTCTTTTAATGTAGGTATAAGTCTGTTTTAATTTTATTTCCACTGCTGAATATATGTCTTATTAACAAATTAAATTTAAATTTTAATACTGTATATTTCATTTTGAAATAAAATTAAAAGTGATTTTAAAAAGTCTATTTCCAAAAAGGAAATTGTAAATACGTGAAAAAAGATAACCGGGGTTAATACGGTTAATTTCAGCTGTTTGGTTGTAGGTATACATACACGTCAGTCCAGACGGAGTGGGTTTTTTGGAGGTGTGTGCGTGAGTGTGTGTGTGTGTGTAAAGAGGTGTGGGCGTGTGTGTGTGTGGGGGGGTTGGAGTCTTGTACCAGATGCCATGATCAGCTGCCAAGACCTGACTGTCACTATACATATTCTATTTGTTTGTTTGTCTGATGCTCTTGTTGCACTGCTAAATGGGCTGTAGCCAACATGATTTATAAAGGGATTATAAAATCTAAAATAATTACTGCATTATTTTACTCTTATTAAACTCACTTTCCTAAAAACTGATTGCAACTTCTAACTTGTGACGTAAATGTTATGCCTCAAATTTATTTCACATCATTCATGGGAGATATGTTTGATAAATGATAAGTTAACAAGTCACTGCTACCAGCTTAATCAATTCATTGGGGCGACCTGCGTGTTGTGTTGCATTGTCTGATTTGGTCGTAGTGTGTAAACACCTCTAGAGGCCACTGTTGTATAGCTGCTGCAAACTGAACGTGCCCGTACCAGAGGTTATACTTAAAATGGCAGCTGCCAGGAAGTCTCTTTGGACATTTGTGTTCGCCCTTTATGAAATACATATGTTGTATTAATGCACCCGTGCATTGGTAAAATAAATACTAGAATAGCTGATACTCCCTTACAGAAGATTTATTTTGACCTTTCTAAAGCCTTCTTTAAAAATTAGAAAATAAAATGAAAACAGGCATATGAAAAAAAGCCTACTAGAAATACTTCTCTGCATTACATCCTAACACTTGGCTAAATCCTAATATGCAATTATGGTTTAATAGTTTATTTCACTAAATGTGATTATGCACTAAAAAAACAACAAAAAAACCCCAAAAACCGAACATGTTGGGTTTAGATAATTCAATAGTGGACACTGGTTGCACACAGATGTTTTGCTTTGGCAGGAGCTTAAACAACTGAGGTGAAGTTATTCATATTCAATAAACCTGTGCAATTTGTGTTGATAAAATATGATTGAAACATGCTTTGGTGAAGTAATTTGAGCTCTTGGATATTTTAATCCTTCAATTTTCACACTTTATTCCAATACTATTCAGTAACTTTTACGCAAATACTATGTTATCTTCAAATGACATGTTGGTATTACATTCTAAATACACAATTTTCCAATGAAGGCCTTATAACAGATTGTTTTGTTCTCTTCCAAGATGGTTGCCAGCATCCACTAGTAACCTTTCAAAACAAAAACGCTAATATCACTGCAGTGACAGTAGGTGAACCATGGGTCTCAAACTCACGGCTCGGGGGCCACTTGCGGCCCATGTCAGCACTACTTGTGTCAGGTTAAGGCTGTGTGCAGGCAGGAGTGGAAGTAGAAGAACCCAATGTGCAGACACTCGGAGGTGGAAAGTAACTCAAAACTCAGCTTTTATTGCTGGATGGCAAAAAGTGGCAACCGTAACAAAAATCCAAATAAACCTACATGAACAGGCAGGCAGCACACACAGCATAAATGAGAGTAGATCACAGCACAGACACAAAGAGGGCTTAAATACATAGAGGGAGCAATCAGGGAATGGGTAACAGGAGGGAAACACAGCTGGGGCAAATCAGGCCTAACGAGACAAGGGGAAGCAAAACCAGACACATTAACATCAGACATGGACTTTCAAAGTAAAACAGGAAACCTAACACAGACTCACAGGCAGGCACTATAACAAAGGGAACAGAGACGTGGGACCAGGGCAGACACAGACACTGACTGGACGTGGGAATACAGCAGACAGGGGAGACAGCAACTAAGGAACACAGACAGAAAACCAGAACACTAAAACTCTAACCAAACCCCACCCAGAGAACCTTAACTAAGAATAATCCTAAAACCTGTAAAGCAAAGCTAGAATATAATGAAATAGCAAAATCAAAGAACCAAAAACACAAAACACTGGGTCAACGACCCAGGGACCCTAACAACTTGCCACCCTTACTGTTGACGTGAAGAAAGGAAATACAATTTGGCCCTTGAAGTTAGTTTTTGTTACGAGGGATTTTGTTGTTGAGTGCAATTTGAAAATAAGTTGTTTAAAAAGCAAAACTGTTTTAAAATGAGGGCAATATGAGCAGAGTAAAAACATGTTGAGGGATTGGCTGTCTTTGTTCAGTGAGAGAGTTATATGTAAAGAAAACAATTTTCACTAGCAGTCAAAAACTAATGTGTTCACTTATGTCTGCATTTTTATTTTGTTAAATATGGACAAAACTATTGTAGAAATGCTTCCACGTGTCTGGCCAGAAAGAGAGTATCTTTCCTTTTTATTTGTTAGTTCAATAACAAGGTTTCAGTTAGTTAAGAGTGAGAAGTTTTTTGCATTCACATTTGCAGTTTTGTTATACAATATTTGAAACTTAAAACAAACAAACAAAACACTACATTTTCTGAAAGATTTGTGGGTGTTTTCTTGTTTGTTTGTTTTTGTACTACTTGAACACTAAAGTGGCCCTCCAATGACATGACAGTACCAGCAGTGGCCCACAGCTCATTTAAGATTGACACCCCTGCTTTAAGGTGTTATTATGTGGATATGTTGGTTTTATTTAGTTGCTGTCAACAAGTGGAAGGTAACCTAATGAAGCCTGTTATTTCTTTCTGTGGCTCAGAAGTTGGAAATTTCAATAACAGTGCGTTATCCAATTACTCAGATTGTCAGAGGAGTTCACATTTCCCTATATACTCGATTAAAATACCCCATCTTCGATCCATCCCATACAGGTCACCCTGACAACACTGAGCAGTCCCTTCAGTGACAGGCTGCTGCTGCTGTCAGACTGTACACTGCACAACAGCAGTGAATGTACACCGCATATGAACACACTGGGGTCTTTACATATATCAGTGTGCAATACTAAATACCTGCTACTATTAACACCCAAACACTGCACTATGTTTCATTCTTCTTCTACTAGTAATCTGTATAATTGCATCATATATGTGTATATACACTCAACAAAAATATAAACGCAACACCTTTGTTACTGCTCCCATTCCCCATGGGATGGACGTAGCTACCTAAAATTCATTCCAGATACACAATATAACCATCCCTCCCAAACAGTGGTCACAATCCCAGCAAATCCACCCCTAAGTCAGACTGTACAATACAGAAAATAAAAGAGCTACAGCTCAGACTCTACAGGCTTCAGTTAGCATGTTAAATGTGAAAGTTCAGTTAGAAAAAGACTGAACAAAAACGGCCTGAGTTTAGCAATTAACCAAAGTGACAAACACTGCTCTAAATAATACTCCCCTAATCCAAGAAGTCACCCAAACCTGGACGTGGATTTAGAGGCCTGAGGGCCATCTCACACATTTATTCAGAATAAAACAAGTTTCAATTAAAATTAAACAAATCAAAATCTTGTGGACGTATGCCTTTTACATGTTGGTAAAATGTTTAGGATGAGATGGAGATCTAACACTCATGCACCCTGAAAATTATGAAGGTCTAAACATGTATCAAAGGGACTCACTGAACATCAGTGGATTTCTATGGGGCAAACGTACTTAAACTAGCCACTGTGACCATTGAGGCAGAGCAGAATGAATGATACTGACGGGAACTATGAGAGTTTGTAGTTAAATTCCTGCTCTTACAGGATCAGGGAGTGTCTGTTTAAAGATTATTAACATACACTGTAAAATCTAATTAGTTCCCAGAACTCAAAAAAATTGAGGAAACTCGTTGCCTCAAAAGAACTGAGTAAAGCTTAGCTAAAAATGACTAAATTAGGACAACTTATTTATTTTGAGTACTCTGTACAAGCTCATTTGTTCCCAGAACTCAAGAAAATTGGATCAAGTTTACGTAAGATGACCAAGTTAGGGCAACTTACTCATTTTGAGTACACTGTACAGCCTTGTTAGTTCCCAGAACTCAAAAAAATTAAGGAAACTCGTTGCCTCAAAAAAACTAAGTAAAGCTTACTTAAGATGACTGTTAGGACAACTTATACAGTGCAAGTCTGCAGTATTAAGAATAACTTGATATTTCTGACTGTACAATACTAATTGTTTACTACTGACAAACATTTCAAGTTCAACTAAATGAAAAAACAATTTGTGGTAACCTGAATATGATTAAAAATAATTAACAACACTTTTTGTAATGATGTTAAAATCAGCCCAACTTTTATTTTCAAACACAACAAAGTATAACAGCCAACATACTGGACACTGTTCTGCTGAACAACAAACAATTATATTGCCATCACTGTTATAATCTTACAATGAAACAAAGTCTCAGATGTAATTATTCTGAAAATAAGTTTAGGCCTACCACAAGTTTGTTTTGTACTTACATTACTTATATAATCAAAATAAAATATTTGTTGTTCTGTCACAAGTGCAGTCTCTAATTTAAACAACACATTTGTTTTGCATTCCAACACATGAGCTGGAATGTTGTAATATTTTAAGGATGGCTTGTTTCCAGTCCAGGCATTACTGCCTGAATGACTATCATGGATCGAGGTGATCCAAATGTAGGTGCAGAAGAAAGTCTTTAACTTCCCTTAAGTACAGTGGCAGTGGATGTGGGTTGGAGATGCAATGAGCTTGAACCTGCAGGCGACCATCTTCACTGACCACACCATCTGTGACGGAGGACTCATCTCTCCTGGTGTCCTGCAAGCAAACAATCATATTTTTTGGAACATGAACTTAATTGCTTTCTTAAAACATTTTTTTCTGCATTTGGTATAAAAAGACTCCAATTTGGACAATCTCAGGCTCCCTCCCCACTGGAGAAGTGACATTCAATGTCCCAATTGTCAGTCTGGATAGCCCTGACCCCCACCCGACACACAATAATGTCATGAAAGCATCATTTTAAAAAGGGCTATGAAACATGGCCAATAACTTTCATTCTAATGATGTGCAAAATGATTTGGGCACAAAACAAATTTTGCTGTTAGAAAACTTGCAACTTCACTATATCAGTGTAGACCCTCTAAACTAAGTTTGGGGGATGTGATCTTTCAAGAAATGCAGACCAAACTGTTGTTGTTTGTTTACTTACACAGCATGTCTTGTAGAATTAACTGGAGTCACCAGCAACAGCATAGTGCAGTCATATCTCAAGTCTAATAACAGAAGACAGGAAAAGATCAGTAAAGAAACAACTTCCCCAAACCAAAGACAAATAAAACAATAAGTAAAACAGGCTGATCTAAAGTATGATTAAAGTTCAGCCTGATTAATATAAATGTCACTGACAGTTGCTAATATATTGGAAAACCAAAATACTTACCACTGAGTTGATGTCTTTCTGTCCAACAGCAGGAGTGCTGGTCCCGAGCCTCAAAGACAGTAAGAAGCAAGCAGAGGGAGAAAAAACAGAACATTTTTCAGAAACCGATTTGATCCTTAATGGCTGTGCAATCATTGTAACATAGAGTTTGCTTATGTTGTTAAATAAAGGCTAGATTTGACATTAATAGATGCCACAGATGTTCAAGGTGCCACAAAGCATGAAAAAATGGACATCTCAGAAAACGTCGGGGCATTTTTGCAAATATGTGATGTCTTGATAAATCGAGCAGATATTTGAACTTTCGACAGCTACATTCTCGCCTGAAAATATCTTAAAAGTTGATTTTGTGACCCAGAAAAAGCAATAAGTTCTTTAGCCGGGCTCCTCCGCCATTGCCGCGCTTACAAGTATGCACAGGCTCCGACAACCATGGCCGACATATGCGATCCTCCTTTCCCCTAGATTACCCTTTCTGGGTCACAAAATAACCTTTTAAGATATTTTCAGCGGAGAATGTAGCTGTGTAATGCTCAAATATCTACTTAATTTATCAAAAATATCACATATTTGCAAAAGTCGCTTCCACGTTTTCGGAGAGCTCTGTTATCCACCAGCGTGATAGCTGACCGGGAGGTCAAGGCTTGATAAGAGTCCGCGAGCTAACTCGCTAACAGCTAACTCCTGGCTTATTGTTTTCACCCCCCGAAGAATTTTGTCTGGGCTCTTATCTCACTTTTTTATTTCAAACAATCAACAGAAAATTTCACAGACATATTTTTATATAAGGTTTTTAAGGCTGTGGTGTTAATTTTTAAGTAACATGAGCCCAGCCGCAGCAGCAACGCTAGGCTAACACTAACTAGCTAGCACGATTATAAACCTGGTTCTAAACTAAGAGAAGCCACAAAATCAGTTTGAATAAGAGTAAACAGTTACTCACCAAGTCAGTGTATCAGGTAAAGATCCACAGCAATGACAACAATAATCTCTTGAGCTGACGCTTTTCTAGGTTTGCTCAACATATTCCATAAAAAATGCTGGCACCATGAACATGCAGAGGAGGACGGTAGTGACGTGGCATTTTCAAAACACATCTTTCATCCTTATGCACTGAGAAGAAAAACTTCCATCTTACTTAGTTTTTCTAAGTTAAGACAACTCAAATAAATTGAGTTTATCAGCATTTCTGTAGCGGACAGAACCACCTGCTTTAATCTACCATGATGCTCTGTGTTATGTTGTCATGGCAATATGAAGTCAAATAAATACAAATTCATAAAATGCACATTTGAAGGAGGACAAGAAGACAGGCAACTGGAAGAGCTTTTGAAGCAGGAAAACTTTTCTGGATTACTCTTAATTTAACTGGAAATTTTGCGAATACAAGTCAAGGAGGAAACAAGGAGGCAGGTTGGATTATATCTGAGGACAGGACGCATGAAGGAGAAGCATGAGGAGAGAGGAAACAGCAGAGCGATGGTGCAGAGCTAATCGTGGGTCAAGTCGAAGAAGCAAGCATCAAAACTGTGAGTAAACATAACACATAAAGACTTAAAAATTACTGTGCTGATTAAGGAAACATTAAATTTGGTTAGTTTGGGGTCTGCAGCTTCAGGTTTGTGGGTTCAGTTGGTCTCAAAATTGAGGAAAGACAAAAAATTTTCTTTTGAAAGGTTGTTGGAGGATTCTTACTGTAAGAAATATCTGGGTGTGCAACTGCTTTTATTTTAAAAAAAGTTGAATTTTATTTAGTCACATTGGAAAGGGAAAATTGGAGGATCGGGACAATAATGTGGCCAGATTTACTGTTTCCTTAATCAGAACAATAATTTTGATCTGAACTAGAAATTTTGAAATGGGTTATTTTCTTTCTTCTCTACTGATCACTGTTGTTAAAGGTTGAGTTACTTGTCAGTCTACATTTATGTTAAAGGTACTTTTAAAAAATGCAGTTTATTCGTAATTTTGTAGAAAAAGGCTCCGCACCTGTGAAAAAAAGAAAATGGGTATCCACACCCCCAAAATTGCTGTAGATCAGAGTAGCTAAGCCCTGGTTAACTGCAATTATATAACAGGAGATGAAAAATATTGGAATGATTGAAAGAAACAAAGATTGCTTTAGGGTTTGAAGATTTGACTTTTTTATTGAAAGAGACGAAAACTAATCTATGTGTGACACTGAGAAAAAAACTGAAAGCTTAAAAGACCTGGACGTCCAACTGATGTTATACAAATGTGCAAACTTGTTTTAATGACATTAGAAAGAAAAATCAGATGTTTAAAAAGGTAATATATAAAGATGATTTTTATATTACTTGAAAAAATGATGTTGTTAGCGCTTCTGTACTTAGAAAACTGCTGGGTCACTAGTAAGCTGAGATTTAATGTGATAAACTGAGGAAAGGTAATATAATCTAAACACACGCTGTTATTATTGCAATCCATACAACAGTTAATATTTAATCAATCATGATTCATAATTGGTGATCTATGCAAGTTTTAAGGAATAATATTTATTTGCCTTCCCAATTAATTTGCAAAATCTAAAAGCGAATCTTGTTTTTTAAGAAAAAAAGAAGTTTCTAACTGACTTCAAACTTTTTTGAGCTGTAGAGTAGATTGATGAGCACGCAATAAAGTGAACATGATAGGGAGAGTTTGCCAGGAACTCAATTTTGATGGCAGAAACGGCTAAAAAAAATGAGCGTTTTGTTTTCACAGATGTGTGTTTAATGAATCATTTATGTTAAATCACCCATGATGCATTAGGAAATGTCTACACACTAATACATGGGCTCATTTTTAGTAACGATCACTGCTGTGTGGACCGATCACATGGTTATAAACCAGGTGAAAATTGACTTCAAACCTTTGAGCTGTAGTGTAGCTTGCAATGATAGTGTATAGTTATCTATTACAGAAGAACATATAGAAGTATGAGGACAGGGAGACACTGTAAAAAAGTTATGAGCTGTCTTGCTGCAGAGAAAGTGGAGTCTGTCATCCTTGAAAAGCTCCCAAGATAGGCAGCTGGCAGGTTGAATGATGCTCTGCCTCTGTGGTCAAGTACAGACATAGGCCTTAAGCAACCATGAGCCACTGATAAGTGTGAGAAATTAGTGCACTTAATGCAGCGGTCCCCAACCCCTGGGCCTCGGACCGGTGCCGGTCCGTGAGTCGTTTGGTACCGGGCCGCGAGAGTTGAGGCTCAGGTGTGAAATGTTCTGGTTTTCAGGGTTTTTATATCGGTTTTCAGCGTTATTTTGTTTGCTATCGTTAACTCGGTGTTTCCTGGGTCTTTTCATCGTGTGTTATAGAATAAATCTTGTTTTTTTCGGTACCGGTACTAGTTTTATTTTGTTGTATTTATCCGCGACACCTTAAAGGCCGGTCCGTGAAAATATTGTCGGGCATAAACCGGTCCGTGGCGCAAAAAAGGTTGAGGACCGCTGACTTAATGCATGTTTCCTAATTATATACGTATGAGCCACTAATAGGAGAAAATGAGCACGCAATAAAGTGGACTTGTTAGGGAGAGATTGCCATCAGAGTTAAAACACTCCAACTCAATTTTGATGACAGAAACAGCTAAAAAATGAGCATTTTGTTGAAACTGATGAAAAAATCCTGATCAGATACAGACAGACACATGCATACAACACACACTACTGCTCAAAGGTTTGTTGTCAGATTCAAACTGTCGTCTTTTTAATTAATAATTTACATTTACTTTAAAATAATTTTTCATAAAATTTATCAGTAATGTTTTCACAGATGTGTGTAATTTCTGTTAAATCAACCATGATGCATTAGGAAATGTCAACACACTTATACATGGGCTCATTTTTAGTAACAATCACTCTTGTGTGGACCGATCACATGGTTATAAACCAGGTGAAAATTGACTTCAAACCTTTGAGCTGTAGTGTAGCTTGCAATGATAGTGTATAGTTATCTATTACAGAAGAACATATAGAAGTATGAGGACAGGGAGACACTGTAAAAAAGTTATGAGTCTTGTCT